GTAAGCTGGGTGTTTCCATATCTGAAAAAGAAATTCACTACTGAAGGACGCACATAGTTTATTTTAGTATTTCATAGATGAAACATTCGAACATAAGGATACTGGCCTAAGTTATCTTTCCTTAGTGCAATTACTATTACAGTAAGTAAATGAAGCTTTCACTTCTAGTATTTGTATTTTTGTTTAATATGCTAATTTTACCATTATATTTATTTACTCCAATTTATAACAATATCATACTAAACGTTAATATTTCTGTATTGTTGCTTTGATAAATTATGGGATCTAAAACTAGTTGTAAGCGGAAGTAAGCGGGTGTAAGTAAAAGTAGCTTCGTTCGCACAATATTCTTGAAACTTTATGTACACTTGCAATATCTGTAAAAATGCTGTTCCGAAAATGAAGATACGAAAATTACAATGCAAATTTGCAAATAATTTGAGATTTCTTTTTCGATATTAATGATGCAATAAACGAATTTGGAATGCTCGGAAAAGTAATTTCGGCTGAAGTCTAGTGTACGGTACAACTTACGAAAGTCGTTTAAACCAGCACTTCGGGCCGCTCCGGCGAGAACTAGACAGAATTCTGGAGGTTTTCTAGAAAAGTGATTTCTTATAAAAGTGAATTGGTAATTATGCGGCGGTGGATAGACTCACGGATGTTTATAGTGAACGCGAGGGCCGAAGGCCCGGGCCTCGCCGTGACGGATCCGAGCCAGCGAATTAGAAGACTTGCCTTTGAAAGTAAATTGGCATTACAATGCGGTGAGGACAAAGCATACGAAGAGCAAACCATGAAATTCGCCCATCCGTAAGTTTTCATTTCTATCAGAGCACGTAGAGTAATTAGGGCTTAAGACCCCCTCCCGCCAGCACGCTTGAGTGTATAGTGTATCCTACTTTAGCCAGTTTTTCTTGGAAATTCAATTTTTCAGGCAATGACAATAATTGACCTCCAAGCTTGAGAAAAATATTTTCAGTGCTATCATGTGCCTCAATAGAGTACCAAACTCGCCCGAAGTAGGTACATTACCGGTCAAACTTTATTTTCGATTTGTCGTAAAATGTGTTTTGGACTCTGTGCAATACAATATGCGGTAGCGCGGAGCATATATCTAACTCACATCAGAAGCGTTACAAGAACATAACCGAAAATAAGATAAAGATCACAATATTTGTTTATGGTGAAGCTGGGCGGCTTTGCTGCACCTAAAATAATTTTTAAGCGGAACTTTCAGTAAAATAACTTCGTGAAGGTTTCTCATTTGACTGGCCATTCAGCTGCTATAAGCTGAACTGAATCGTATATAATAGAAATATCCATAATGAGAATATTTTGATCTTGTTTATAGATTTTTGATATTTCATTTCCCGATTGCGAGAATGGTAACAGTCCGCACCATTTACCCGTTAAGAAACTTTTACTCTCTAGAGTAGGTGGCGTAAAGTTGCGTTTCGGAATTAGGTGTACTAGCAGAATACCTGGCGTTCCTCGAGCCATTATCAGATAGTTTAAAGAAGAACAATTTTATGTAAATAACATAGTTTTAATTAATATTACTTTAATAAAGAATTGTTTACATTTTAATAAAAGTACTATCATTTGCGCAATTATTCAATAGGCAGTGCTCACAGAATCTTAAATTATATTTTTAAACTCTTATTAGTAAGTTTTCATACGTTTAGATCATTTGAATGCTGAAATAGATAACACAGTACAAATTAAGTACATTGATCACTACCCCTGTCCCCAGAAAGACACCCCTAAAACTCCATAACTACCCCTCGCGCCCCTCCTTCCACAGTGGATTTCCCCTCGCCTTAGCGGTGTAAAAGACTTCCTTAACATAACAAGCATACAGGGAGTGGCAAAAGTATTAGAACACCTCGGAAATTTCAGGAAATGAATAAATTTGACGTGTAAAATAAAACAATATTACAAATTTTAGATCGCATTGAGAAGTGTATTTTTTTATAATTGATATCAGCAAAAAGAAACAGAAAATAACTTAGTGCAAAATTTAAAACAAAATTTACAAACATTAGGTCGCGAAAAAAGGCCGACAAAAGTATTGGAATAGCCAAATGATCGCGGTTAATAAATTGAAGAGTAACCGTATACAAATTAATATTTTGAGAGATGTCCTTTGGCATTTATAATGGTTTCTAAACCACTTAGCTCCACAAGCTTTGATGTCATAAGTTGCGTGATACTGTGACATTTATTTCAATTTATAGAACAATTTGAGCAATTAGAGAAAATTTTGAAAGATGTACAGTACCCCCAAATTTTAGACTTTTCAAAATCTCAAGGCTTTGACCCCGGACAGATCGACCAGAGAATATTCATTTTGCAAAAAATTCTACGAATGGTTCAGGTTCTAATTGTGTTCACAGGCGGACGGACGAACGAAAAAACTTTTCGGCATCATGGGACCCACACACTTGAAATCTCAAAATGGATTTTACGTAGCATTATGTAACTTTCTCTACACTACGTATATTACTCTTGTGTATACGTACGTATACGAGGAAGTAACTTGTGATGCTGTAGAATGGCAGATACTTTCCTATAATAGTTTTCAATTTCCTTTCATCTCTGCTTGCTATTCGGACTTGCCACATTCTCTTACCAGCAAGCATCTATCGCCGCCCAAAGTATTTTCTCATTTTTCTAATATAATACAAGTATTACTTTACGGATATTTAATAAGAGTAAAACATTGTTCTATAAGGAACTTTTCATTGAAACATTTACAACAGATTTTAAGAAAATGGTGTTTAAGCGATACCGTGAATGCAAGATTGAAGTTGTTTTCAAACGAAACTATTGATTTCTCGAAAGACTTAATTTAAAGTAATTTCAAGGACGTTTTGTTTAAAACTTACGTTTAATTTTACTGATTAAATGTCAATTGACTTGTATCATAACGTTCATCTCTTCACGTTGTAGAGACCATTACTTTGCCGTGAACAAAATTTTTCATGTCATTAGAATCTTCTGGCTAGTGAACTAGGTATACGTATAACGAAATAGATCCGTGGAATTTTGTATATTATACCCATACTTTTATTTAGTTGCCTAGTTATAAAACTTATTCTTTTCCATATTTTTTTCTTCTACTGTATTTGCAAAGAAAAGTTGTGAATTGATATTTGACCCCACGCAAGGACAATTGAAATATAAAGTGATAATAGTGGCTGACGGAAATGTGCCATTAACTACTTAGAAATATCTCCAAGAAGCCAAGATCACAGTGTATTCCGGCTTGACGAATTTTTCCCGATATAGAAAAAAAGGTTTTGTTATATTTTAAACAACCTTAGGGTTGAAACGCATTAAATTCTTTCCATTTCTCATTACTCTTTTACTTCAATTATGCTTGTTGCTGAACTTCCATTAATTTAAATAATCATTCCTTTACCCCCTAAGGTTTCGCTTTCTACACTATAATTAAAAACACATTTCTACAAATACTCATCCGTCAATTTCAGCATAACACATCATTCATAATGTCACTTTTACTCGTCCAATTCACAAAACCTAATAATAATGCGTAATGTACAACTGAACAATAACTTTCATGTAGAACACATGCGTTGATTAATAGTATTTTACAATATCAAACGTCAGTCAGCAAAATGTTTTCTAAACATTTTATATTTGAATAAGTATATTTCTCTCTTTTACACTTACATATTTACCCCTAGATGCAATGAAAATGTTTATAACTCAATATCAATGTTACTTTTAGGATTGACAACTAATGTACATTTAGGATAGACAATTGACAGTAAAATAAATAAACAGCCCACACTTATTCTACATACGCAATTCTGTGCAATGATGAACTCAATCAGATCTGTCATTCTTTGGTGGCGCGAGCTACACTATAGCGCATTGATGCACTCTTGAATCTGAGCTGTAATGTTGTGCAAAAATATCAAAAAAAAGTAATTATTTTGTGAATATATTAAAGAGTTATGCAGATAATTTTCATCAATATTGGTCCGGTACATTCAGAGGTTATCACAACGCCCTTCTGTATTTATTAGCGTAGACGTAGACTAGCTGAAGTACCCCACATTGCTGGGCTATTTACAGAAGTTTATTAGACAGGAAGAGGAATTCAATCTATTCTCGTCCTGCGGCGTTGCACACTTCTATTGCGTCTCCGCCCCGCCGCATCACGTCCCTCCCTTCTTCCCATATAGAAATACCAGGATTCCTCACTCACTTTTTCACTAAAAACATTTTTTTCCGGTTCGAGATTGTTTCCAAACTTGACTTACTTTATAAATAAAAATAATAAATCTAAACTAAAAATCATATTCATGTACCCTCCTATTTTCTTTGTGAGGAATTTTATCTTCTATACAAATACCTTCAATTACCACATTGTAAATCACATTCTTTCTCATATTTTTCCTTGTGTATTTGTAAGAAAAAGTTTGAAATTGATATTTAACGCCACGTCGTGGCAATTGAAGTTTAAATATAATTAGTGTTTTTATTGATTTCGAGTATGATTTAGGGTCAACTATAATTTTATACTCAAAACTATTAAAACATTAACAAATATTTTATAATTGCATTTCTCTTTAATGATCTATTGCTAGTGATAAAAATACACTGTTTCATTTAAAAAAATATATTAAATTTTTCGAAAACAACAAATGGCATATTACTTGCTCTACTTTTCCGCAATGTTGAGAGAAAACTGCAGTTAGATATCGGGAAAAGTATAGAAGCTATGGGGGTAACCCATTGTTGGTGGGACACTGTATTGTCAACGTGTAAATTTCTCTGTAAGAATAGTGTATAACATTATGATTTTTGAATTTTTTGAATCTAGTATTAATGTAGCGTGCGAGAACTGGCTGTGCAATCCCCCAGAAGCGTTAAAAACACCAGCTTGTATTGCAGACATTATTTACAAGGAATGTATGCATCAATATCGTGTGTGTCGAAAATTTCGAAGAAAGAATATCAATTCAATGGGAGATACTCTACAAGAAGTGTGTAAAAGTATGTTATTTTGAAAATGTTGCACATTACCTTCCAATTAAGAAGTCGTTACTACTTTCATGTTTGTAGGTAGCGTGCATTTATTGCAGTGTGAACAAATTTGTTGCAAACTCTCGCAAAAGAATTGAAAAAAATGCTGCTTGTAGACAATGAAAGTGGGATATTCCCCTGTAGAAGGGTGTACACTGGCGTGAGTACTTTTTAAAATTGACTTATTCAATTTTGTAAGTTACACAATTTTTGTCAATATAATTATTAGTCATTATTGACATGCACTTGCTTGTCAGGTACCTTTCCGAGAAAAAAAGTATCCAGAACGCCGGGACTATTGGCTTTGTGTTTGCAGCTACGTCATGAACTAACGCATTACAATTATACAGCAATATGTGGTTACTTGGCATTATTTCAAGCAGATATTGTTTGAAGCGGAAGTAAGACGAATCAATCAACACACTATTCAAAAGCACTGACAACTCGTATGGATTTATGATCAATTTGTAGTATTTGAGATACAATAAGCTTAGGAATTGACAAGTGACAATTATGTCAAGTCACCAGCTGACAAATACATTTTGGATTCGTTTTCACATTTTGATATTATTCCCAACGTAGGTTGTAAAATGCAATATTAATACTTCGAATATGTTACAGGGGCTATTGTTTGGACTGAGGAGTGCGCGGAAGAAATATTTGAACACAAATGCATTGAAAACTGTGTGTACAGTCAAGTTAAATATTTGCCCGTACATTCTCTTTCAACAAGGATTCAAATCATTATGTATTGTATTGTTTGCCGTCTCACAAAGTTAGAATTGTCACTACAATAACATCGATGTGGGATATTTAGATATCACAATTTGAATATTTTTCAGGTCAGTGTCGACGTGTGTTCAGATGGTACATGTGAGGAAATGGAAGAAGCGTCTCAACCCAAATGCAATGAAAAATCGGCATTGTCAAGAAATTGCCGCTTCATGTTTCTTTGAAATTGTTCAGTTGTACTCTTAAAAAAACTGCAACGAAGTATAATAATAATAATAATAATAATAGTACTAATAATCTTGAATGCAGATACGACAGGGATTGTTATAACAGTATTATTCAGGTTAATTTGTATGGTACTAAGTGTTTTTCTAGGTAGAGAGGAAAGGTGAGAAATCATTTTAACTCTAATTTGCTGACAGTTATGGAAGACAACGAAAAATCCCTTCTACATTTGTACTTTATCGTGTTCAAAAAGGAATTAAGAAAACGAATAGATGAGTGGCGGTCTTGTAGCTTGAAAGTCATTGTTGTAGCGCCGCACAGATAAGGCGATAATGACGGCTGCTTTTCGTTCGTGTTAATAAAAATAATACTTTTATACATTTGAAGAAAATTAAAATATATTTACTTTATTTACATTCTATTTTACTTTCTCGCACATTGCTTATTTTTCGCACCAAATGTTCGACGAATTTCAATGAGTTTTACAAAAAATTATTTGGAACGTAATTGTGGTAAAAATAGTATAACATAACCATAATGACGAAAGTATGTTCTGTTGTTATAAATGTTAAGATTTAATTGTATACTATTTTGCCTTCTCATGAAGTTAATGTTGTCGCTACAATTAAATCTTTGTTGAATTTTTAGTATACATAGTTTCGATAAATATTGCTTGTCCTTTGTTTTTATTGCAACGTTTGTGGTGGTGGTGGTGGTGGTGGAAGTTGAAAGTGTTGTTTCAGCTGGTGGCGGTGGCGAAGTGGGTGAAAGTAGTAGTGGACGAGGTTGTTACGGTAGTTCTGTATGGGAGAAAGTTATTACTCACGCAACTTTTCTTGAACGATGACCTTGCTTCCCCCTCTGGAACAAAACAGATGAAGGCAAAAGTTCGCAGCAGGCAATGATGAAAAAATTTCAAACACATCTTCACTGACACTAAGTAGAAACAATTTTCTTTTGAAGACGAGAGATCCTATAGGTTATTTTCTCCAAAAATCTAAAGAAATGGCCGAAGCAGGTATGAATCTCACAGGAGATACCTCGAACTCCTGAGAAAGTTAGAACGGAAAATATTGAGAACGTTACGAAGGCATGACTGATTCTCCAGAGATTAGCATTGCTTCTTAAAATCTAGTGGCCAATTTCGTAACTAATACCCCCACCCTACCCGCATTTATTCAAAGTTGCGCGAAAATATCTCAACCTTAATTTAATGACAAATATGACCAGGGAAACTACATAAAATAATGCTTTCGAATGAATTTTTTTGCATTTAAGTACATTAAACGATTGGACTCTACAGGAATTTACTTTTGTCTGTGATACACCATGGAGACACAACGAGAGTACTTGTGTTGAAACGATTTTTGAATAATTTGCAAGTGTTTTTAATACTACTTAGTGTAGTAGGAAGCAGAACATTTCTACCCCAATGTACCAAAATCCCAAAACATGAAATTGCCGCGATGAAAATTCGTCTTTACATTTTTTCACACAAGATTTTTATATCAAAAAAAGCTGAAAATGTCTGTGGTGCGCTACGGGAGAAGTAAATTGTGTGCGCTACGGGAGAAGTGAATTGTGTGCGCTACGGGAGAAGTGAATTGTGTGCGCTACGGGAGAAGTGAATTGTGTGCGCTAGTTTCCATAATTCTATGATTTCCACCCTTGTCGAATTTTGATTATATAAAGAAACGGGCGTTTTTTGTAATGAATGTAAACAAAGAATTCGCTCCGATGTATTGTCTATTTTCAAGGATAAATCTGTATATTTTAGCTCTTATTCATGCCCTTCGTTAAGGAATAATACTGCTTGCTGCGACATGGAGAACCATGATATGAACAACTATATTTCCCACTGAATTCTACAAGACATGTTCTGATAAGTTAATTATTCTTTTTTATTCCTCACGGTTAAAATTATCACTATGAATAATAAGTTTTTCAGGTCCGAGCTCTATGCATATGAATTGGAGGAGAAAACATCTCACCGCTAATGCAAAGAAAACTGAACAAGGGAAGATACTTCAAGACGGTGCCCTTAGGTAGCGTTTTAAAGCAAAGGTTGATGATTTGGTCTCGACATGAAGTTAAAATTGTCATCACATTATATAGTCATGATGGTGAGTATTGTGGAAAGTGTGTTCGTGTATTTTGAGGTAATGTTCGTTCCTGATTAATTCATGAGAAGGGAGTGAAAGCATTTTCACCACAAAATTAAGAATTCGCCTGTACGTATTTTATCGAAAAGAACACTAATTCTGTGTCAATTGCCTCCTCACAGTTGCTTTCAATTGTCACTGAAATTACGTGACTGATATTTATAATACACAGAACTGGTACATCTTTAAGGCCCCCTGTTCCTGATTTTACATAAGTGAGGCACTTGTAGTAATTCATCCCAAATGCTATGAAAACGCATAATAAAGCGGGAAATGTCGAGAAGTCGCCCCTCTGTGTAGTTTGGAATAAATGAGCACATTCAGCATTTACGTTAAAGAAAAGTTTAATTTGTGTAGCAGACACTATTAACAGTGTTGAAACTCGAGTGCATTTTTCAGGTTAATTATTAGTGCTATTAAGTACTACGAGGAACAGGAGGATGATGAGAAAGCTTTCGTAATGAATCGAAAACCGAAAACAAGAAAGTCAACGTCGAGAATTCCCCTCCATATTTTTTGCATTGTACCACATCCTTCGAGTGGCTGACCCGTTTCACCTGATTACCTGCATTTTGTGCGATCCAGCGTTGTCCCGGCTGCTCAGTCGTAAGACTTCTAAAAGGAGGCATGCCTGATAGGACTAACTCTAATGCTACCACTATCTCAACCCATGTGAGTTAAAAAATTCCAATCATGTAATTAATGGTCAAGATTTGTTTCTACATTTTCTCTGAGAGGTTAGTTTGTGCTCTTGATCTCTCACAAAGGTACGGTTGTCACTAGCTTTTTGTCAGGGTGGAATGTTTAGTATTTTTTGTTGCATTTTCCAGGTCCGTGTTCAAGAATTAGAGGCGGGAGAGAATGTGGAGACGGAGGTGGTGGAGCACACACCTCAACAGACGACATTCGAAAATTCCAAGTATGGTGTACATTGTCAATACTTCCTCTCTACATTTTCTCTGAACAGGACAAGTTATTTACCCTCCTGATTTCTCGCAAACTTATAGTTCTGAGTAACATTTTATCAGGTTGGAATCTTCAGTAACAGTTTTCGTATATGGTCGGTGTCCATTGTTTTTATATGCTATATTATCGGGCAGAAAGGAGGAAACCTCTCAACCCAAGTGTATTAAATATTTTTAGCATGGATTCAATGGCTTATGAATTTTTCCCTCTCTACATGGATTGTTTCTAAACAGGATAAGAGTTGGTTACGTTTTTTTGATCTTACAGAAATACAGCGTCCCAAAACCTTTTTATCATTGTGGAATGTTTTGAGTTTAGCACTATTGGTACCTTTTTAGAGCCCATATTGAAATACTAAATTTATGGACAGAAGGCGGAAGGAAGGAAGCATTCAACCATGTGGCATTTAAAAGTCCATGGTATTGATGCTAGGACGGTCTCTACATGGATTTCTCCAAACAGGATAAGAGTTACTTATGCCTCTGATCTTATTAAAGCACAGTTGTCACCCAGCATTTATCAGGTTGGATTGCTCAGTATACTGTATTTTGGGTTCATTTTCAAGGTCCGTTGTTTCCGAAAAGCTACAATTTGCGCCTGATGAGGAAAATGCTTCACTCAATGTGCATTAAAATTCGGGAATATAAAAATATCAGGAATTCGAGGTAACCTGCCTGTCTTAGTGTCGTCCTGCCTTATGCCATTTCTTTAGATTTTTTGGGAGAAACAACCGTTTAAAGTTCTCGTCTAAAAATTAATTTTCTACCTTACGACAGTGAGAGTTTGGAATAATTGTAATCAAGTGCTCGCTGCGATCTTTTGGCCTTCATCTGTAATGTGCCAGAGAAGAGGTAGGTAGGTCATCGTCAAAGAAAAGTTGCGCGAGTAATACTGTTCGCATGGATGAACACGAGTGGTAAACAAGTAGACTTTTCTGGATTTGGTTGTAACGTTCCACCCAGTTTTTGATAGGAATATATTGTTACTTATACCCATCTTAATCGTCGCATATTAATTGCTTAAAATATGCACAATTTCTTCATTAGTAGGTTGTGATGTCCATTTGCATTTTGTTGCAAAAGTATTGAAATTTCTTTCACATAGTTTTTCTAACACTGAATCTTAAATCTTAAAATTTGAAGAGTTTTAAGCATCAAAATTACACATTTTAATATTATGTTGTTGGTCGCATACTGTTATGGACTTAAAGCAATTACTATCTTTATCACCAAAAATTAAAGTCATTAGAGCGTATAACAAACGGGAAACAGTCATAATCATATGGCGATAGACACTTTGGTTAGTTTTAATTTGAATATATTCTTCCTTAGCATTGATTTCTAATAAAACTGTCAGGCGTGAGAAAGTCACTGCAGTTACATCGGTGTACTGTTGTGAATTTTCAGCTCCTTCATCTCGGAGGGTACTGTGAGAGGACGTAGGGGATAAATAATCTCAATCAATTAGCAATGAAAACTCAAAGAATAGAATGACAAGTCTAGATTTGTTTGTGTTTTGAAACAGGTTTCCAATTCATTTTGATTTGGATATTCCGTAATGTGAAAATAGTAATTGCAATTCCATCTGTGCATTTGTATGTAAAAATTTTATACTTATGGTGAAAGACAAATGCGAGAATGTGATAAAATTGCGTTGCCATTAAGCAAGAGATGGTTTATATTTAATGCAACTGTGTACCATGTATCACTCCTTGTCCCTCTCTATTTCTCTTTTCTTTCTCTTACGCTATGTCTCTCATTGTCTTTCTTTTTCTCTCTCTTTATCTTACTTTACCTCTCTTTGTCTTTCTTTGTCTCTCTCTTTGTCTTTCTTTGTCTCTCTCACTTCGTCTTTCTCTCTTCGTCTCTTTCTATTCGTCTCTTTCTATTCGTCTCTTTCTATTCGTCTCTTTCTATTCGTCTCTTTC